GTCTTGGTTAACATTAGCATAGAAATTATCGTTTCTTCATATGTCAAATCATCTAACACATCAATTCTTTTGTCTTCTATTAGAAGAATATACACATCAATTAAAAATAATTAGCACGTAATCATGAATATTTTAGAGATTTTTATATTATTTACGCAATTCAATTTCATCGTAGTTTCCGAAGATCAAAAAAAAAAATAAATTCGATTAAAATTCGCACTTAGCTTGCAATTGGTAATATCTAAAATTTTACACGTGACACATAAATGTATTAATTCTTCTACATAGACTGAAAATGAGTATTAAAACACATACAATTACCTGATTGTCAAAGAGAAATGTCAAAATTAACGAATAAACATTTATCGATCGTACCACGAAAATGATGTGTTATAGTTTTTCGATAACAGATGGCGACACGCGCATGGTTTATCTGGACGATATATACTACTGTTACTGGTTTGGGAGAAGTGCAGAATTTTCTATATAGAGCCAATTTTGCTCACTAGGAGCGCTGCGGTTAGGATTTAGGCTAAAAGCGGGTCGAGTATATAGAAAACTTATATAAAATTGATGTAACGCGACTTCTAAATATAAATTAAGACCTTTCCGAATATAATTCAATTCAGGAAAAGAAATTATTGAGCCTTTTTCCATTGTTGAAATCTATATTGATGGCGTAGAATTCGAAAGAAAGAAATGAATTTTTAAAAATAAAACTGTTTCAGTGTTGAAACTATATACTTCCTTTTTATTAACAATATTTACATAAAATTATTCAGTTTTATTACGGTTACGAATTTAATATAAGCGGAACAACTTTCTTGCTGATTTCTCCACCTTTCTTGCCAAATATCTTGTTTTTACACCTTGCAAAAAAAGTGCAGTCTGCAAATGATGTAAAAATGTACAACTTTTGCTGTTACAATAACAATGCCACATTTTCTCATCCCATTGCTAAAAATCCATCGATTCTAAATTCACGTGCCTGTTCTTAAAAACCGACGATCCAAAGCCGAATCAGCATTCGTGTGTTACAAAAAACTGAAAAAATAAAACTGATATACCTAAAAATGATACAAAAACCCCTTTAAAAATACACGCGCTAAGGCAACTCTCGCCAATTTAGCCTACAGGACGACTGGAATTCCGCCCTATCGGGAGCAGTTGTTCCTAGAACGAAAACGAAGGGTGAGAACAATAGCATCTTCCCAACTAGTTTATCTAGTAACCATGGTAGTAGCAGAGTCGATAAATATACTGGTCCTTGAGCTATGCTCTAAAGTACAGTTAATATGTCAGGTAGCCGATAGCTGGCGCTAGTTTCGCATTACGGCAAGAAGTTGTTGGCTTATCTATTTGATTAGTAGGTAGTTTAACCGTTTTCAAGCATTTATGTAACTTTTCTGTAAAAAAACAGCATCAGTAGATAACGAAACATATTTCCCGTGATCTGTAAAACTCTCATAGGTCCCGAGTCAAACCTAGTTCAATACATAAATTAAAAAATAATAATCAACAACATAGGGTAATAACGGACTTCTGAAATAAATTTAATGTTGCTCCAGAAATATTTCTTCAGAAGTTATGATATTTTGATCTTCAACTGACGATATGTTAAAGGTCGAGGGGATGGGGAGATAATGTGGGTCGTATGTATCTTCATCAGAGCAACTGAGCTTATATATAACTTATCGATGATATCGGATCCTTTTTACTTTCTCTCTGTTATTATAATACAACCGGAAAAGTAAGGCGATCGGTCAAAAAATGACCCTCCCAAGATTTTTACAGTTTTGGACTTAGGACACCTTGAAACGTCGAGAAATACAAAAATATTCGGGAGTAATTTCTGTATCTATGGATATTAGTATAGGGGCACGATTTTGTTCACTCCTGTGCTTTTTGCCGAAAATTTATGAAATTTTGCAGAAATGTTTATGAGAGAGATTGATGCTATTAAATTTTGGTGTAAAAATTTCATATTTGGTGTTAAAGGTCGAGGGGATGGGGAGATAATGTGGGTCGTATGTATCTTCAGTAGGGCCAGACTTTGACGATTTTACTCGTTATTTTTTTATACAATTTTTTATAAAAACTCATCCCTACCTCAAAATTAAGCTTATTGCCATTTTCTAATAGTTAAAAATACAAAGAAATTTTTAAAATAAAATATAACAGAAGGCACCACAATTTTAAATGTTGCCAGGAAAGTTGAACAATTCGTTGCTGGTTTATTTAGTTTATGAAAACATAATTGAACAAACTCTGAATATAATTATATCCATATATTCATAACTTAGAGTACAAAATCCAGTTGTATTTATAATTTGTGGTTGATTGAAAGTGAATGATCAGATTTTAGCTAATATAAAAATGTATTACGCTTATAATTAAAGAACCCAATTTTGAGCAAATAATGGAAGAAAGAGAAGATGCCTATTTTCATTACTAAAGATTTCATTGGTGAAGTTGAAGGAAGCACTCTGCCAAAAAAATAATCCTCATAAATACATTTATACATTGACATAAAATGAATATTGGTAAATAAATCTTTCCCATAATTATTATATATAGCTCTTCGGTATCTGTAAAAGCACAGTTTTGCTTTGCAAACTGACATTATCATCATCAAGTCATTTTATTTTCAGACTATCAAACTCGTGTAACTTTACTACTACACACAATTCTTATTGTTTGAGATATTTCAGTTTAGTGCCACACTTGATTTAGTGTAATTTTAAAAGCAAACAAATGATAGTACTAAATTGAGGTTTGACTATAAAAGCATTTACACATAAGACTGAAAAAAACTAGTGATTTCTATGCAGAAAATTCTTTGTTCTGCCAATTTCTAAACAAAACAACTGGATTATAGATCTTTATAACAGTCAACATCATTGTCAATGGTTAAAAAAAACAGATACAATTCCAAAATTATATTATTTACAAAATATCTTTAAAAAATGAAAAACGATGAAATAGAAAAGTAAAGTATAAAAACTAATACAATGCAATCATCAAAATGAAATAAAAAGGAAATGGAAAGAACATGCTGAAACAGAAGAACATAGAAGAGATGATTCACTCAGAGCCGGCCCTACCATAGGGCAAACGGAACAGCCGCTCTAGGCGCCAACTCTTAGGGGGGCGCCTCAGTGGTAAAGAAAATTAAAGGGTATAAATTAGGGGCAACCAAGGGGGCGCCATAATAGGATCTCGCTCCATCCTAAAATTTGCCTCGGGCCAGCACTGGATTCACTCATTGATATCTTCGAAGAAAAGATATAATTTTGAATTGATAATACTTGAAAGTGAACATCTTATGCATGGCCCTTCAAACGAATGAAGCTTGTTAGTTCAATAATGCAGAAACTAACCAAAGATAAAGATCCCGGGGTGGATGAGAAACCATATAATATTTTTAAGGAATACAGAAAAGGTAATAGTCTAAGGACTGGAAACTGTTAATATACATTCATATATCAAAGAAGCAAAAAAGTAATTAATTAAATAATTCTAATAATTACCAAATTCCAGAGTATTATATAGTTTATATAGTCAAAAGGCTTGCAATAGTTATGCAGATCTATCTGCTTGCAGATCCATCTGTTCAGTTGCTATTTCTCTTGCCATTCTATCCTTCTCTGTAAAATTTTGAGCAGCACTTCATTGGCATTTGAGATCAAAATGAATCATAACTATTGCAATCCTTTTGACTATATAAACTACATAATATTCTGGAATTCAGTAGGAACATCAGAACATCTAATTCTATTAATAATGATTCTAAATAAGTTAGTGATAATATAATATGAGGAAACAGAATTACTTTGCATCAGAAAAACATTTGGCAGGAGAGACTTTATCTCCAAATTTATTAAACTTACACAATGAAAGCACCTTAAGTGTTCTCATTTAGACTAATTGGCACAGAAAAATATGAGATTAATTTCAAAACATGAAGCAAAATAAAAATTTAAATTGCATTATCATGTTAGTGTTAACAGTAATGATTTTGTTTTTCAAGAGTTAAGAAGGAAAATAAGGTGGTTAGCATAATACTAAATATTAAGAATGTGAGGATTATGACAACTGAAATACTCAAAAAATTCTAATCAAAAAATAATTTAGTAAAAGCAATTAAAAATAATTAATTTTCTTTGATTTTAAATAGTATGAAAATTGTTGGGGAGAGAGCGATGGCAAAATGAGCAATGAGAACTTTAACAAGACTATGAAAAATTAGGATATCCATTCAATAAAAACAGTCAACAGTTAAGACTAGGTCTTTCTCAGGTGTGATAGAAAAGTATACGTGGGCTTTGTATAAAAGAAAAAGAAAGAACAATTCATTTCAGTTGTGACTAGAACTGGAAATGCTATTGTTATAGACTGGCAGAAGAACTAATCAATAAGTATTCAATTAAATTAAAATTCAGACTTCTTTGGAGGACTTGGTAATCAAAAGTCTATAGTAGAAGTGCCATAAACTTATGAAAATAACATTTCAACAAAGAAATCAATTATGGAAAAAAATCAGAATAAAAAGAATGAGTAATGTGTTAGAAGTCTATTATTGCAGCATATACAAATTATTTTCTGCAACAAAAAATAGAAATTAAAGAATATTTGGCAAATTAATTGGCAGAAATTACCAGAAGTTGGTGATGATGCAATGAGACTGAAAACAGTAACAAAAGCTCAAATTGATAAATGTTGAAAAGTCCATATTCATAGACAGAAAGTTTTAATTTTTAATTAAAAATAATGATATAACAACTAAACAAAAACTTTTCACTTTTTCAAGTTATTAAAATATCATTTTTCATTTTTATGAGTTTCTTTCATTGGGAATCTATAGAAAAATTACTTCACTGAATACAGATCAGGTACTCAGCTTCTAATGAATTACGTACTATCATAGCATAGATTTGTTTTAAAATTTTTGATTGAAATATCATCCATTAGAAATATATTGATCTTTCAATCAGAGGCAGATGTATAATTTTATTTCTATTAAATCCTATTAATTCAAAAATAATACATAAAAATGCCATTCACTTGTAAAATTAACACACATTTGAGAATAAATTAAATTTTCTTAAGCATGATCAGACTAACTTTGAATGTTTGTTATAAAAATATTGATACTAAAGACAACTGGAAGACTCTTGTGTTGTTATCAATATATATATATATATCTTTTTTTTTACACCACATTTAATATTTTATATACAGTGTTTCATTTTACATTTAATACAGATGAATAACTAATCTTACAGATCCTAATTAGGATTTTAAAAAAAAATATGGAAATTTATTTGGTCTGTAAAATTCATTTGGGCATACTAAACTTTTCTTCAATTTAAATGTTTTCATGTTTCAAGAATCATATTTATATCATCACTATTAGTTTTAAATTAATAAATTAAATTTAGTGATGCAGCTTCAATTAAATACTGTAAAATAATTTGAATCTCAATTCTTGTCTTAACTAAGAAATGACTATTAACATTTGTAAATATTTTTTGTGTATAGACTGATCACTGAAAGACTAGAAAAATGTCCACAAATCAACATATAATGTATGTAAATATAGAATAAAATATTTCACAACCAAATATATATTACACATTTACAAAAAGTCCATAGCATGCAACTGTGCTGTTAAATTTGGCAATAAAATAAAAATACATTAATGAAAGTTGCATGATTGGAACTGTATTTACAGAAGTATCTTTTCTTTTTGTAATTAGAGTTTTTATGCAGATTTTTAAGATGTTATATAGCATAACAAGCATCTGCTGCATATTAAAAATCTTCCTTGAAAATAAATTTGTGTGTATAACATAAATATGACATTAATAGAATATATACAGATGGGTTTTATTTTCATGTATTCTTATGGATATTTGCTTGTTGTTCAAATTTTTGCGTTAGAGAAGCAACCCTAGAAACGTGCCCACTCGATGTCCTTCCCACTCCAGAATGCAAACTAGCAGGTTTTAAGGCACTGTTAGGTCTGGGTTGCCTGTTTGATTTATTCTCTGAAACTACTGCAGAAGGATTACTTGATACATTTTTTTTGGTTTGACCCTGCGTCGATGTGGATTTAACTTTTGGTGGAAGTTCTTGCGTATTAACATTCGACAGTCTTTGCGTATTATTATTACTTCCAGCACTGAAAGACTGTGGGCGAATGCCTGCTTTTACATGCTTTGGTGGCGGAGGACGAGGAGGAGGAGGCAAGTTACGTTTACCATATGAAGCATCACTCAGAGGACGAGACATTCTTCTTGTGGATGATGTGCCAGCCATAGATTGTGATCTCTGAACGGTGGCTGGTGGTCTAGGAGCTGGTCTAGTAGGTGCCAGACTAACAGGTGCATCTTGAGAAATGGTAGCACTATTTGATATCAGGTGACCATTCTGCATCTGTTTCTGAGCTGTCTCTAAAGGAACTGTCACAATTGGATCATTAGGACCATGCTGAAGGAATGGTGCAGATATTTCCAATTTTGTTATTGTTCCATGAGGATAATTAAATTTCTTTGGTGGTGGTTTATTTGTTGTTTCATTTCTATTAAAACAACAATAATTTTAATCAATTAATAACAAAAAATAACAATTTATATACACAAAATCATAAAACACTTACACAGTTGGCTTCTGAAATTTCATAAACCACCAATTTTTTAAATGATGATGATAATGATAGACAACATATGCAACAACTGCCACAAATGGTATTATACCAAGAAATATAATAAGCATTGCAATAAAGAAACTCTGGCCAGCTGAAAAAAATTTCAAATATTGAATTAATAAATAACAATAATAATAAATATAATATTATAAAATGTTTAAAACAAAATCAGAAACTAACCATTTGGATCTGAAGGAGGACCACTATCTATACTTCCTCCAAGTCCTGGAGAGTCACAAACAGGTGGGGCATATCCAAATTCACAATGGCAATTGTAATTGCTATTGCATGTCTAAAAGTAAAAACAAAATCAATTGAATATTTAATATTAATAATCAGATAAATTATATAAAAATAAAATGTAATTAGTATTTAAAACTGACAGATTAATCATATCTAATCTACTCACTTGTGATTACATATAAATCAACATTAATATTAATAAACATTAAAGTGGATCATATTTTCCTGTAATATTAACAAATATGTTTTTCAGCAATATTAAATATTGCTAAAAATATTGTTTTTTATTAATTTTGTTAATAATTTAAAAGAGTTTGATACTCTAGAGAGAATATTAATTTAGAACCATGGTGGAAAAATTTATTACTAACAGATAGAGAAAAATGTATCTTTATCTATTGTTAATTGTTAATATAAGTAATTAAATAATTTTTTTAATTGACTTTAATAACGTTTATTAAATAATATTATATTCCTGTTAGTGTAGAATAAATGGCCATAGCCATAAAATTTATATGATACTGGGAATTTAAAGTTTATAAACTATAATCTGGCACAAGTCTCAGACATAACAACATTTATAATTTTTTTTATCCTTTTTCTCTTGAGGACACTAATAAGATCTTTTTTTAGTCATCTACATCATGGATATATCTAAACCTATAATCAAGGTGGCTAGATGGCAAGAGATGTACAGCTTACAAAAAATTTTAGGTTTCTGACTTAGACTTGAATTCAGATCACAGACCAATACACTAATGTCTTTACTGTCTAAACTACCTGCCATTTCCATTTACAAAACTATAGTTTGAATTCTGCTCTAAACCATCTTTTCTTAATCATTTATAAATTCGTATATTATTTAAACATTAGTAATAAAAAGAGCCAACAATAAATCTTTTATAGTACTAAACAAATCCAATTATTAATAATCCTATTACTAAAATCAATTAATAAAAACTCAAAAAACATCCAGCAATTTTGACAATTAATATTTTATACATTGATAATAGAACAAACATATCCAAGCTTTCAAACAAAAAGATTGTTAAATCATGAATAATAATTTTATTATTTGTATTTATGATTTAAAACTTTTACAATCAATACAATTTTTTACCATACAACAATGATGTCATATAATATAATTAGAAAATTTATATAAAATTAGTCACAAAAATGTAGTTAATTTTCATAAAATGGAAATTAATTTTGCTAAATAAAAATTGCTTAAAGGCCAATCTTCTGTAATTTATCAAATTGGTAAATAGATTATTTAAAACAGTACTATCACTGTTTTCAAATGAATTATTGTTCCTGTCAGTTTTTTTAATTCTTAAAAACATTAGCTGTACATCAGTGGTTCTCAATCTTTTTTGTTGATGTGCCCCTTTAGCCCATTAGTTGTTTCTAAAGTACCCCTTATATTTTTGTATGTAAATTTTATAATTACTGCGTTAGATGTATACAGCCCTTATAACTGAGCACCATAAAAAACTGACTAAATAACTATAACTAAAAGTGAATTACTTATTTCACGTAAATAATAATAAATTTAATCCGGTACATACATTTATTTATTATTATTTGGCAAGTATATTATATAAAATCACAGAAGTCATTTCAACACATGCATAAATTACATTTTTTAAAAATAAATAATTATAATTAACGATAAAGAAAATTTAAATTATTCTATAATAATTTCTAACAAAATTTAATGGGATATTTGTTGCGATAAATTTTTTTTCTAGTCTAAAATTAATGCTCGGTTAAACCGTAATTTGACTAGACTACAGGTTCACTCGGCACTAATGGCACAAATAGACAGGCAAATCAAGTGGATAAACAAGTTGTTTAGACTGTTAAAAAGGAAATCGGTGTTCACACTAGGATATTTTAAAGCAAGTTTTTGTTATTTCTTGTTTCTTGTGTTAATAATTTACAGCAAATTAATTAACATACGCCATTTTATAATGAAAGTTAAATGTACCCCTTTGATTTACGCTCGTACCCCTAGGGGTACATGTACCCCCGGTTGAGAACCACTGCTCTAA